TGAGCCCCAGCACAGAAAGGAAGCCAGCCTGGCCCCAGCGTGAGGAGCAAGGGGGCCAGGATCTAAGGGAAAACTGGAGGCAGGCAGAAAGCCACTACACACCGCCCTTGGATGTGGGGATTTTATTCTAAGTGCCCAGGAAAATACTAAAGGAGAGAACGAAATGATCTGATCTATTTTCCAAGATCAGTGTGGCTCCATGGTGGAGACTGGATTGCAGAATGAGAGGAATAGCAGGGATGGGTTGGTAAACTATAGCAGTATTCCAGGGGACGTCATGGTGGCTTAGACAAGGAGGGGGCAGTGAAGACAGAGACATGACTAGACCATTTTGGAAGTAGAAATGACAAAACTTACTTGCCAACAAACTGGATGTACATGCAAAGAGGGAGAATTAAGAATGGTATCTATGTTTCTGGGTTAAGTAATTAGGGCCACTAAGAAGCAGGAAGGAACAGGGAGTGAGCCTGGGAGGCTGAGGGTGAATGTGTACATGTATGTGTGTGAGTGTGTGTGAATACATTTGAACGTTCAACTTTTATTTTTTTATTTTTTATTTTTTTAAATATTTTATTGATTTTTTTATTGAGAGGAAGGGAGAGGGATAGAGAGTTAGAAACATCGATGAGAGAGAAACACCGATCAGCTGCCTCCTGCACACTTCCCTTTGGGGATGTGTCCACAACCAAGGTACAAGCCCTTGACTGGAATCGAACCTGGGACCTTTCAGTCCGCAGGCCGATGCTCTATCCACTGAGCCAAACCAGTTAGGGCTGAACGTTCAACTTTTAGAGTTAAGTACAATATACCCATCTGCATCCAGGTGGAAGCAGTAAGCAGCAGCTGGACACACAAGTCTGAAACGGGAAGTAGGCTGGGTGTCATTAGCATATGCACGGTGTTGAAAGCCCTAACATTTTGAGGAACAAGAACTCTGAGACTCCCCAGCATTCAGACTGAGAAGAGAAAGACAAGACTAGAGACAGGACTGGACGCAGTGGCAGAATCAGAGTGTACAGACAAAGGCAAGTGGCTAAAGAGACGAAGAAGGAGCAATTGTTAGTAAGGTAGAAGGAAAACCAGGCACAGGTTCCAAGAAATGGTTAAGTACAGAGGGTGCTAAGGGTGGAGCAGGTGCCAGAGTGTCCACTGGGATCTGAGAGCACGGAGGCCCTGATGTCCTCAAGAAGAACATTTCAGGGGAGAGAAAGAGATAATACAGACAAGAGCAAACTGAAGATAAGCAAGATGTGGGAGTGGGGACAGCTCTGTTAGTTTGCTCTGACAAGGAGCAGAAAAATGGGGCAGAAGTGAGGGAAGGATGCGGATAGAGCAAGGTTAGCTGATTGTTTTTAAAGATGGGAGTTAAGAATATTTCACTGGGCCGGCCAACGTGGCTTAGTGGATTGAACACCATCCCATGCACCAAGAGGTCACTGGTTCAATTCCCAGTCTGGCAATATGCCTGGGTTGTGGACTCCATCCCCAGTAGGGGGCATGCAGGAGGCAGCTGGTCACTATTTCTCTACCAATGATGTTTCTATCGTCTCACCCTCTCCCTTCCTCTCTCTCTAAAGAAAATCAATAAAAACATATTTAAAAAAATATACTTCACTGCTATGGGACAACCTAGTACAGGCAAAGAGATGGGTGAGAAAGGAGAGTCAATTAGAAGACTGAGGTCCTAGAGAAGGAAAGAGAGACAGGGGCGCAGGCCTAAGGGAAGGATGGCCTGCCTCGTGTTTCCACAGGTGATGTGGTGCAGATTTAAGGCAGATGTTTTTTCCAGAAAAGCAGAGGATGATTAATCAGGTTGATCAGTTACACAAGACTCAGGTTATAACCAAGCACACGTTTCTACAGATGACTAAATGTAAGTTAGAGAAGGGAGAGCAGTCATATAAGAAGTAGGACTTGCCCTAACCGGTTTGGCTCAGTGGATGGAGCCAATGCCTGCAGACTGAAGGGTCCTGGGTTAAATTCTGGTCAAGGTCATGTACCTCAGTTGTGGGCACATCCCCAGTAGGGGGTGTGCAGGAGGCAGCTGATCGATGTTTCTCTCTCATCGATGTTTCTAGCTCTCTATCCCTCTCCCCTCCTCTCTGTAAAAAAATCAATAAAATATACTAACAAAACAACAAAAAAAAGAAGTAGGACTTAAACTGAGCCTTGAAGGGGTAAGATCTAGACAAAGAGCGACAAGGAGCACACACAATTGTTACAGCCAAGTCCGACCACGGGTACTTGCGGATGAGAGTACGGGACCAGGCTTGGAGGCCTTGGTCTCTGAGTGCTGGTAGCAGGGACTGAAGTCAGGTGGACCCAGACCACGGAAGACTCTGGATGCTCGTCCGACTTGGCCCACTCTACCGTAATGGATTGCTACAGGCTGAACGGGACAAGGCAGGGTTTGAACCGAACTGCAAAACAGAATTGAAGTAAGACCCGCTGGCAGACTATGCAATCATTGAGGTATAAGATGAGGATGTAAGATGACAGGGTGCAAACAAGTGGACATCAGGGCAGCACATGGCTAGTAAACTCACCACCACCACCTTCCATACCAGCCTCAGCACCCACAGTCGGCTCCACATCAGCCCAAACTAAGGCCAAGATGTTGACACCCATCCATCAGAGAGGACTCCCAGAACTGAGACAGTGTCCCAAGAGAAATCCCATCCAACTGGGGACTAATTATTTTGGCCACCATGCCTCCCATCCATGGTCCCTGTGAAACTGTCTAAAGATAGCCGCTTCTCCATACAGCTAGTCTCCCTGTAAGCTATAATCTGGGGCCACTTCACGTGTACCAACAGTCTCATCATGGGGGTGCCAGAACAGGAGAGAGAGAGAAAGAAATTGAAAACCTATTTGAAAAACTAATGACAGAAAAGTTCCCTAACCTGGTGAAGGAAATAGACATACAAGTCCAGGAAGTGCAAAGAGTTCCAAACAAGATGAACCCAAACAGGCCCAAACCAAGACACATCATAATTAAAATATCAAAGGTTAAAAACAAAGAAATAATTTTGAAAGTAGCTAGAGAAAAGTAGTTGGTTACGTGCCAGGGAGTTTCCATAAGACTATCAGCTGATTTCTCAACAGAA